ATACTGCTCAACAACTACTCCGAGGGAAATGGAGATGGATTGGGTGCACGCTCAGGAGAGCGTCGAATGACATCGCGTGCCGGACAATACCTTGAGTATAACCTGACTGGAAAATGACGAGTTGGGTGCAAGTCCGGAGGAAACCTGGCAGATAAAATGGAAACGTGCTGCTGAAGCCCTGAGTTCCCCTAGGAACCTGAGGCGACAATAATAATAACAATAAGATCTAGCTAAACTGAACTAAACTGACTGAAATTCCGGTGCTCGGATCAGTGACACACTTGAGTTGAAGAATATCATTGGTTTATCCAATAAATCAAACATGCTCATAATGCTTCCGTCATTTTTTGTGTTCACAGTGGAGTATACAGCTTCAGGTTTTGTGAAGTTTAGTGGCGATGGTGTCTGTTTCTTTTTTTATGAGGTAGGATTACTAACCCTACAACTCCTAGAATTCCCTATCTAAGTGAAGTTTAGAGGCGTTCGTTAGCCTGGAACTGAACCCAAACTTCTCTCATGGTTGGCGACCGCTGACGTTCTCTACTGAGCACCATCCTAAGTCGTGACATGTTGAAAAAGAACACAGAGTAAGAAAAGAGGTATTCAGCAGTACTACTACTGAAAAACATGTGTGTTAAAAAACAGAAGCAGAGTGACCACATAAGATTAGTACAAAATAGTTAAAGTGTCGAACACGAAAAGCATGAATGCTTTCGAGTCATCTGAAAAAGGATTCTCAACCGTTGACTCCTAACATCTCATAAATACCAGCCAATCAATGTACACATCTCTAATTAGCTCATACCAAGATTTAATGATTGAATAATTTGATGGCATGAAGCCAATGATGTTCACGTTTAACCAGAATACTTTTTCAGCTAGTCAGTGAAACGATCGTAGTTTTGAGTTAGGTGAATTGCCTACCACGAGCTAGGTTCGATTCTGGGTCAACGGATGTATTCCTGAATCTCTCTGCTAGCTGCTGTTATACCCGTTAAACAGGGAAAGCTGGAACTGAGGATAGAAATCCCACTGGTAAACAACACAACGCCACTGCCTACTGAAACTTCAAAGTTCAACATTGAAGCCTCATGTTCCACTCAGTACTCAAAAGGAATGGATATAAGTTGAACTGTGAATTCCTCTAGACTTTGTGCACGTGCATGTGTGACAGACAGATCACCTCAAATCAACACCAATAAAACATAATCAAACATAGATAAGTTATGTATAATTTGAGCTAACTAAACTACTACAAACTAGCGTACTACATTTGTGTAAAGCACTACACTATTACATAACTAAATAATTCTAACATTCATTTTAATAATAGTGTAGTGTAGTTTAAGTGATGCAGGAGTGAGATGTATGAAAACGTGAACGTGTGTTGTTGGAAATATCACTTGCTGTGTATTTCATGATCTTCTCGTAGCACTATTCCATTATCATATATCTGATCCAGACATGTTCTCTGTGCTTGTAGCATTCCTTTAAACAATACAACAATATATGATGAACGAAATGAATACTGATCATTGTTGCTTTATAGTCTAAACAAAAACCACTGAAAAAAGAATCTATATGAACCAGTCCATTGAAATATTCACAGGGTTATATCACACAGAGTCAATTCAACAGAATTTCTTATAGCAGGTGACTGAGATTTAAACAATAACAACAAAAAAAAATAAGTTTTTCAGACGATGAGTGAAAACAATTCGAAGTCACAAACCTTGGGCATTTTAGTGGACGTTAGAAACTCCTTTGAAAATGATAAACATCCACATGACACATTGATGCTTTAATGGTAGGATAGATCACCAACCGTGTACATGGTCTGGGGGTTCAATTTGTGGCCAACGGATGCATTCCTTAACCTTGCCTAGCCGGTAGTAAGTCTAGTGAATAGGGAGGATCAGGTATGAGGCCAGTAACGTCAGTGTGTAAAAAGAAACAACACCACGGTAACTGGGACTTCGCACCTTAAAGCTCGAGGCCATATGACCCATTCGGAACGCAAAGGGGTGAAAAAGAAACATCCACATGGCTTACATGTCTGTCTAGAATAAATACACAACGAAAACCATCATTACGCAATAATTATACGCTGAATATGGGTATCGGAATGAATTATTATATCTGTATATCTCTCATATTGAGTCATAAGAAAAAGGCACAAACAACGAAGAAAATTTTCTTTTTCGACGATTCATTTTCATGAGTTGTACAATCGTCTTAAGAAGACTCTCTTCATGAACCTGGTGACATTCAGGGTGATATCGCGGCGGAAATTCTCAGAAACCGCCTTTCTAAAAGTCTAAAGAAGACATTTCCAACAGCCACTCTACGTATCACATTTTCCTGTAGACAGTTTACCCAGTCTAACGCTAAGGACAAGATATCGCTTTTGGCTACTTCAATGTGTATTTATCAACTTACTTACTCGTGTGGCGCAAAGTACATCGACCGTACGCAACTCAAGTCCACAAACGTATCCTGGAACACTGCCCAGCTTGGTTAGCCAGAGGAAGAAAAAAGAATAGCAACGGCTGTATCTTCGAACACCTTGTCACCTCCGGACATCGATCACCCCCACATGAATGCTTCATAGTGCTACACAGAGTCCCTCAATATCGTACAAAGGGACTTCAGATACGCCATCTGTACATAGCTGAAGCATTAGCTATTCGACATCTGAAACCGGACCTCTGCATTCAAAAGCGATACATACATTCTCTTGCCCTACCATAGCCAGAGTAAGGTTCTTACCACAATTTTGCTTCTTTCTTCTATTATGTAAGTTCACTATTATTATTATTGTTATTAATACTTTTATTATCATTATTATTTCCATCATCCACATTTTATTACCACTCTATTACTATTTATTAATAACATTGTTTTTTCATACAGATTTTATACAAAAAACACTTTATAGCCTTTCCACTAGTTCCTGTCCATTCTACACGAGCTTATTGATTAGTCATTATCTCACACTTATTACGTCATGCCAAATTTTGTCTTCTTTCTAACTTACAATTAGTCATTCCTTCTTACACCTTACATTACGTAGTACAATTTTCAAGGATAAAGTTTACCAGTATCTGATGGGTTTAAAGATTTCTTTGCTGATTATAATTACGATTGTACAGCTTATGAAAATGAATCGTCGAAAAGAAAATTTTCTTCTCTGTTTGTGCCTTTTTCTTATGAATCTATGCATCTGTCTATGAATGGGGACCTATTGGCTGTTAGCCCTCAACTGGACAACTGAAAGACTGGTTCATGTATGTAATGGTTAACTCTGTCTTTCTCTCTCAGTAAAGAGTATTTCATCTAGCTACTTTTACCTCCTTATGTTTACTTGACTAATACTTGTACGTGCTGAGGCATTAACACTATTCATATAGAAGAATCTGAATTATTCAAATAAAGGAAAGATGCCCATCTACTCTTCCTACCTTGAAAAATACTCTAAACTTCATTGTGATATAGCAAAAATATTCATTCAGACATCGATAAAACACAAAATAATCGAGGAAAGAATATTCTTTTCGATAGATTCCTCTTCTGGCTCTACATTATATATACATGTTTATATACACAAAATATTGAAGATTGGTAGTTAATAACAATATTAGTGTTTTTTAAATAATATCGACTTGTAAAGTGTGATCACAATGGAATTACAGTTCATTAAAGATGCTTAAATTATAATAGTAATAAAGATATAATAGCGCATAGAATATCAACTAAAAATAGGAAATTTCCACAAAAATTCGGATTATCCAAACATGGATGGCTAAGGTAAGAAAAGTGTTTGAACTAACTTCTTTGAGAATTGTTGGTATCCGGTAAATAACCAACAAATCTCAACTCCGCCTTAAGAGTTCGACTACTAAAATATTGCTGAGGCTGACTGTTGGGATCCACATTAAAAAGCCTAATTTGTGCGTCTAAAAGAAGTTAGTTCAAACACTTTTCTTACTTTGGCCATCCATGTTTGGATAACCCGGAATTTTTGTGGAAATTTCCTATTTTTAGTTGATATTCTATGCGCTATTATATCTTTATTACTATTGTAATTTAAGCATCTTTAATGAACTGTAATTCCATTGTGATCACACTTTACAATTGATATTATTTAAAAAACACTAATATTGTTATTAACTACCAATCTTGAATATTTTGTGTATATAAACATATATATAACTGTAGAGCCAGAAGAGGAATTTATCGAAAAGAATATTCTTTGCCCGATTATTTTATGTTTCATTGTGATAAATGATTTGCAGTGATTACTGTCTTTTTCGCCATAGGTTTTTTTGGCATTATTAATATTAACATCCTTAGCTCAGTTACCGTTTTTTTAACTCAGCTGATTTGTGACATAATATGTTTTGATGCCTGTCTCTATGGTCTCTCAACTAACACCCAATTCCATAAACTGTTTTTTTTGTTTTGCACATTAAACAGCCTCTGGTCTAAACTTTCAAATCTACACAATTTTAGTTCAATTTTGATTATTCTACACTATTGAAAAACATTTTGGTGATGTCAACAATATTCTAAGCCGACGATTTTGTTATTCTTCGGCAGCTGAATGTAAACACGCACACACACACACATACACGCACGACCACAAATAAATGCATATAATATCGATTGTACGGTTAAGTGAATGAATTACAGTTGTTAGAAAGATCATTGAAAAGCAGGAAGCATTAGACAGCTTTTTCGTCCTACACTGGGACTCTTCATAAATCCGCACCGAAGATTTCTTCAGGAGTCGAACTTCATTCCTTCCGGTTACGAGACCAAGTCACTCAATCACTTGATATATATATATATATATATTCACCTTCGTTTGAACCAGGTATTCTTACCGAAAATATGGTAATTTTTAGAAAATCTTTGCCACCGATTAAGTAAATATCAGGGTAGGTGACTAATACAATTTTAAGAGAAACCTGATTATTACTATGAGATAGTCCGCTTACCATAACGTCGCATATCAATAGGTTGTTGAGCTAAGTGCTGTTCTAAACGTCGACGAAGACCAAGCTCACCACCAAATTTGCCAGCGGTTCCATTATCAGCTAACAGGAAATAATTATGATTTGAGTTTAATGGAGCTTCTTGACGACCAGGTCTCCAACCTTGAGAATAATAGGAACATGTATTCTGCAAAAAGGGGTAAACACAGTTAAAAAGGCAAAAGGGAAAATTATTTTCAGTAATTTAAAACGTTTTAGTATTGATATTTTATTATTATTCACTTTGGTTCCAAGTGGAACATAGGGCTTCGACAGTGCATATCTGCACTTTGTCTTATCTTCTGCAATCCTCTTAAGTTGCATCCTCGATTTCCCTTAAAGTCTCATCCCCTCAGTGGCCCCACTCGCTGTCTTCCATTCTCGTTCCACTCCAGGTATTACCTGGTACGCGATGTCATTCGACTGTCTCCTTTCAGCATATACCCAATCTATCTCCATTTTCCTCGGAATATTTGTTGAGCAATATGTTCTTGATTGATTAGTTCGTTCCCAGAGTTGCTTGTTGCTAATGCTTTACACTGGACAGCTGATATATTAAATATGGAACTTGAAATGGTAGCTATTAGTAGAGAGTCTACAGTAGCCTGTTAGAAATGCTTTTCGTGACGCGCGCGACAAGTTTCTGATCCATACAGAAGAACCGACTGACTTAAGAGTTTTGTTCTTTATGCTGAGCACAGCAGATTTCAAAACCGATGTCGGGTTACAGGATTTCATCATGAGCTCAAATTGGTTAGAGAACCATTGACAAACCTGGGGGTACTGGACAGTTGTTTCGTCAGCAGTACGCACCCACCGGGTTTCGAACCGAGAACCTCCTGGTTACAAGGCGAGCTCGTAGACCATTAAGGCACTAGGACCCGACCCAATGACCCATGAATTCTAACTTCTGATTTCGGAGTGATGAATGTCTGCCTTGCTTTTCCAGTCGTGACTGGCTTTGTAATCCTCATGTATAGCAAGCCAAAGAAGTTGAGGTAGCTGGAAAATCCCAGTTAAGTCATTAAAAGGAAAGAATTTCTGTAAAGAGTTACTATTTTCATTCATATCATTCCTAGGGTACTGGGTTCAAGGCTCAGTGGGAACACCATCAACGACGGTGGCACAGTGGTTAGGACTCTCGCCGACCATGCACATGGTCCGAGGTTCGATCCTCTGCCGATACTCACCTGATATCTATGGTCGGCCTACAAAATTTGGGCTACCGATATCCATGCTGAAAATTCCATACTTGTACCTAAAATACAGTGTGGAATCAAATTTTAATCAAAAATAATAAGAAAATAAAATAAAGACGAGGAGACGAAGGTACATCCAGATAACGAGCGTCAAATTACACGGAATGCGCATCCTGGATTTCAGTGCTAGTTACAATCTACTAAATTTCTTCAAACAATCAAGAAAGTTTACACTACATAATACAGGAGGAACCTTCATCAGCTTGGTATCACAGTAAAATTAAGCAAGTAAACTAAGTGACGTAATGTAGCTGACGGAACTGAGTAGAGTTCAATTATATTTGGAAAAAGATCAAGCCAAGATCACCATCATAACCACTAGAAGTGTTTTAATGAGAAAAGAGAGGAAATAATTACGGATAAAATGTTTATATAGAATAGGCCTGTTATAAGACCTGTGACTGAACAAACTTCTGTACAAAGATTTCAAAATTTAGAACATAGTTTCTGAGATTTGAAGATCTCAGCTTAACTTTCTTTTAATTTTGGTTGAGCCCAACTGAGCCTCCTCAAATATGTTACGTCACTTATTAAATTAGCGAATCAAAATTAATCCACCACACTATAATCATCGCGATAATTTCTGACGGATAGAAAGGTATCTGTGAGACTGGTATGGTCAGTTGATCATGTCCAACATTGGGTACAGTGATACCGTCTCTCTGTTCACTTTCGGAAGACTATTTAGACGGGGAACTGCAGAAGTCAGGCGTAGTAGTTGCTAGAACAGTTTGTATTTAATGTTCTATTCAGCTATCATTTTCTTCAGAATTTGTGTCGACTTTCCTTTAATTTTTTTTAAGTTTAGTTTTTCTGGATGACTTCTTTTTGAAAAACGTTTTCATCTGATATAATAGATAACACTTTCTTGATGTAATCTTGACGACTCATCAGAGTGATGTCATCACCCCCTCATATAGAAAAATTAGTGTAGGGAAGAGAATGATTACTAAATTTACATATTTAACTTTTATTTGGTATAATTTGTCTGTATAACGTAATTTCCTTAGGAATCTCTTGGTCATTATCCGAAACTCAGAAGTTTTATTGACATCATCAGAAACACACTCTTCATTGATAATGGAGGGGTATCGTGTATATGTGATGGTACACCTTGAGCATGATATCACTGAAAAATGAAGAACTCTTCTATGAACCCATCTTCTTTATGATATAATCTCAATTTTCATAACGGATTAATGTCATTTAGAGAACTTTCAAAAACCAGAGAACAGTGTGGCGTCGTTTCATCCTACTTTTAGACTTTTAAACGGTACACACACAAAATCCTATTGGGTATGGGATACAGGACCTTAAGGTTCGAGGTGTGCCTGCTGATCATTTAAGCCCACGAATCCTAACTACTGTTTATTCGCGATATATAGTGCGAACTCCAGCAAGTGTCATCCATGAGTATTTGTCTTCACACCCAACCTGGTGGACTCCACTAGTCACGACTTTTCACCAGGACTCCAGAGAACGTCATCCACTATGTCGCGTTTCAGGACATATACTCTCCAAAGATATTGGTTGGTGGTGGCACTGAAATCTCAAATTGGTAGATGTTGCAATTTGTGAGCTATTGGATCGAATCCCAGTGACTGAATGGTCTACGAGCTTGAATTCTAACCAGAAGGTCCTGGATTTGAAGCCTGCTGGGGCGTACTGATGAAGAGTTCCAAACTAGGACGAAACAGCTGTCAAGCGTTCCGTTATTTCCAGTAGTTCTCTAACTGATGTCAGCCTTTTGATTAAAGTTGGAAACGAAACAAATCCCTACAAACTAACTCTTAGAGCTATATTTTTAACCGGGTATTACAGGTAATCAGACAGAAAAAAAAATACTTAAGGAAAAGATATATCAACTGAGTCTATTTATAGCCTTAAGAAGGAGGATAAACAAAACAACTGTGGGCGTTACTGTATAATGAAGGTTTCTATGACATCGTACCCACTGAAATGTTTACCAATATCATGGGGAATACATGTGTATTATACTTGCTTTCTTAATGTACTGCTAAAATTTTAGGCAATTTTTAGTTATTTGTCAGTACTAAAAAACAATCCTTTTAATCCTAGACCCTAAATAATCCAGTCACTACAAAAGATGCTTCGTAGTAGTTTCACCAAGAGTAATTCAGGTTTATGATTCTATTTCAGGATGTTCCCGACTCTACTAATATCCATTAGTATCTTGTAAGCGTATTAATAAGATTATTTTCGTTTTTGGATGGTTAGCTGAGCGCTTTCTGTAAGTCAATTATTTCCACTTCTTGAAGAAGCTCTTTATCGAGTTTGAACCGCCAAAAGGTACAAAATGGGAAGAAAATTTTGAGTTGATTTGCAGAGAGTTGAACAGTTTCAAGCATGACAATGAGCTGACATCAGTTAGAAAACCATTGAAAACCAAGGGGTAGCTGTTTCCCCCTAGTTCGATTGAAGGTGGGGCTATGCGTGTTGGTACCACTGAAGAGTCCCGAACTGGAATGAAACAGCTCTTCAGGACTCTGTAGTAGTAGTAGTAGTTAGTAGTTCTCTAACTGTGGTCAGCTTACGATCCAACATCGACTACGAGATACGCGGTTGTGAAAGCCAGATCGATTAAGACGGCTAGGACAGATGTAACTCAAGACAAACCATCGTTTTCTACGTCCAGCAATGTTAGGGAGATAGGACTAAGATGGAAAACAAGTTTATTACGGCAAAGTTGAAAGTTAAGCACCATTAACTACTAATCAGCGAATGACCTAGAACGCACCAATCACGTGAAGGAGGCATTTTTGTGTACTTAATACACAGAGTTAATCTACACATATTATGGGGGAAAGTTCAGGAGGGTGGTGGTGGGTGAATAGTGAAGTAAAATTATAAAATAGATAAAATAATTTTATTTTAGGAGATTTCTAAACTTAATAGTGAGTTCAATTCTGTGAGTGAAAATTAAAATCAAAACTGGGTGGAATGTTACGCAACAGAACAAAACACAAAAGCACACGAACAAAACAGTTATGGTGACCAGGTTAGTGAGGTATTAGTAACACTGTCTTTCTGTATAAGAGGTTGGCTCGAAGTCTTTTGATATCTCGATGACTTCTGCAAACCGAAGTGACCATGCTTTCCTTTGTGTATTGGTTATTTTGAAAACCTGACTAATTTTCGCTGTATGTCCCGTGTCAAATAGGTTTAATTGATAAGAGGAGAGAAAAAGGATGACAAAGTCTGTCAACTGTGAACACCTGTCGTTCAGTATTAAGCGACTTATCCTTTAAAGTTATTCACAGGGCCAAATTCAGTTACTTTAGCCGTTTAACGTGTTTTCCACCTCTGTATAGCCAAAACTCTATATATACATGTATTAAAACCTTAATTATGTATTCAGAAAAAGTTTTTTTTTAAACCATTTTTTTGCCTCGATCATAGTAAGGTTCTTTTTTATACTTTATGTAATCTATCTATCTTAACGCTTGAATTCATTTCACTTCACTTCATCTTCGCCTTCTGTATTCTTATCATCAACGTACTTTTAATTCATGATTACACTTGACTGACTTTTTACAATCTTAATACCTATTCAACTATGTATTCATCTTTTAAACATTTTGTAATTCATTGCCTTTTAACTCTACCATACATAAAAATTGTGTTGAATATATTTTTATTCTTATCAACTTATATGTATAGTGTGACTGAGCAATTTTTGAATATGATATAAGTATGACTGTACAGTATGTGCGTCGGTGGCACAGTGGTTAGGACTCTCGCCGACTATGCACATGGTCTGAGGTTCGATCCTCTGCCGACGCCCACCTGATATCTATGGTCGGCCTGCAAAATTTGGGCTACCGATATCCATGCAGAAAATTGTACACTTGTACCGAAAATACAGTGTGGAATCAAGCTGTAGTCAAAAAATATAAAAAAACAAAACAAATAACCAACCAACGGCAACAATAACAACCACCACCAACCACCACCAAATAAGAGAGATTAACAGAGGTTACCTCCTTCAATTATCTGGCTAGGAAACACAGTTTCACCCACAGGCGAGAGGGACGGGTGAGGATGTCGAAACCGGTCAGAATCGGAAAGAGAAGATACGCCTTCATCAACCTGAAATCAGTTTGAAAATATCTGCACTCCGTCTCAGTAACAACATGAACAACATTCAGATTTTCGACACCAATTTGAAGTCAGCCAGTGTTTGTGTACGGGTGAGAAACTTGCATTGTGTCACAAAAAGGAATTCCAAAAGGTTACAGACATTTATAAACAGCTGCCTTCGCTAGTTCCGTACTGAAGATCAAATGGCCAGAAAGAATAAGCAACAAGAAACTATGGGAAAAAACCAACAGACAAGAGCCAATCGCTCAAAAAATTTGTAGGAGAAAGTGGAGATGGATCGGGCATCTATTGAGGTAGCCACTGAAAGACATCGCATACCAAGCTCTTGAGTGGAATCCGAATGGGAAGCAACGAGTGAGTCGTCAGTGCGAGGGTGACATGGAGAAGATCGTGTGAGAGGGAGATTAAAGATTATGGGCAACCGTGCAGCCAGCTGAGGAAGACGGTAGAAAATGGAAGGAAGTGGAGATGTGTTGTTGAAGCCCTATGTTCCACTCGGAACCCAAGGGAAAAAATATATTTCTTCGCTGAACGAAACTGTGTTTTTTCCTTATGAAAATGAGGAGAGACAGAACAATCAAGAGATGACTATCAGAAATGATTAATAATGATTTCACTAAAAGAAAAGCTGTACAATGTGAGTAGCTTCAAAGGAATTGATTATTCACGAGTGTTTGCTAGCCAAATTGAGGTTATTCCTAAAACCTGAAGACCGACCCTTCATAGTCAGCATCCAGTTAATCTGTGGTGGAGTACAGTGAATTCATATTCATATTATGCACTTCCACAAAATTCAAGGCATATATTAATAAAGTAAGTTTCAGAATAAGTCATGAATGAATTAATCTTTCATAAGGAAAGTGAACAAAATAGACATACCTCTAAACCGATAAGTGATTCACGATGTTGTACATAACCCCAAGGTGCTATACCGAGTGCAACAATATTAGAACCACGTATGTGTACTTCATCTTTCAATGCCTCACCAATATGTCGAGTTACACCTGTAGTAAATAAGTAACAAAATGGAAACAGATAATATACAATACAACAATAGAGCATGCTAATTATCACTAAAAAAACTTTTGAAATAATTCTACGTTGAATTCTGTGTAATATTGCGATGAAGCAATGGTGAATACTTTTTCCACTCCTGTACTCTCCGAGTGGAACGTAAGACTTCAAGATTTTGAAGCTTCTGTAGTGATTGTGTTGTTTTTCACACGGTGGAGTTGCTAGAACCACATTTAACCCCAGCTATTTTCCGGGCTATTTGTCATTTATGAGGTTATGAAAATAACCAACCAACAACAACAGCAGCAACATCCAGCGCACATTAATCATCATCAACGGGAGGGATTTTAAAGAGGTTACTTCATTCACTTATCTAGCCAGGGAGCATTGTCCCAACTACACGAAGTCGGAACGGACGAGGATGTCAAATCGAGAATCATCGGGAAGGCAAGCGAGAAATACATTCATCAACCTGAAACCAATGTTCGTCACTCAGCCAGAATCAACAACAAAATTCGGTCGGATTTTCAATACAAACAACGTCAAGTCAGTCAGTTCTTCTATACGGATCAGAAACTTGGCGGGCGGGTCACAGAACTTTATCAACAACTTACTGTCTTCGCTCTACACTGAAGATCAGATGGCCGGGCCGAAAGAATCACCAACAAGAAACTATGGCTGGGAACAAACACAACAAGAAGCAATCGCCGGCCAACAAATATGCAGGAGAAAGTGTATTGGGATGGATTGGACACTCGTGGATGAGGAGGCCACGGGTGACGTCGCGCGAGCGTCAGGCCATTTCTCGAAAGGAACCAGACCGAAAGGGAAGCGGCGAATGGGACGTCGGTGTGAGGGTGACATGGAGGAGATTGTGTGAAGAGGAGTTGAAATAGTATGAACTAACATGGATGTAGGTGAAAAGTGCAGCAGAAGACAGAAGCGGCAAGTGGAGACGTGCAGTTCCACTAGGAACCCAAGGTAACAATAATAAAATAACAACAATAATTGTAATCTATTAAACTAGTTAGTTGAGGTTAAGAACTGTGTCGATCTGGAACCCAAATTTGACTTCTTATGTGGCTAGAGAGCTATCTGTCAGTGAACCACTGACGTAAAGCGAATACTCTGCAAGATCTAATTATCATACCATCGGAAATAAAAAAAATCTTGTTGAATACTGAATGACTTGTGTACAGCTATCAGAAATAAACAGATGTCAGGGAAACAACTACTGTTAGAAGAACTCATAGATTGCTTAATATAAAAGTTCATCTTCAAAAGAATATTTAAATCTCTTTCTCTTGCATCTATCATTCGCATCATTTGTTCTCATCATATTCATCATCTTGCCTTCTATATTGTTCAGTGATCTTCTGTGTTCTGCTCGACAGAATCTTTAGTAGGCGATCATGTATCTAATGTCAGCATTTGACTACATACTACGGGAATACATATTTGTATCACTGGCAGACATCATGTTATCACGCATATAATACTTACAGTTAATAGCCTAAGAAATATGCACCTTTTTTGTTATTTCAGAGACGACTGTTTAACGGCTAGCCTCGAAAACAACCCTTATCATCAACTATCGACGACCTACATCTCTACAAAGAAAACATTGGTGATACTTTCATCATTTGTGATGAAAACCTGGACCTTGAAGACTTACTTCAAACGTTCAACAATGCCCCCCCCGCCACCAAAACATTGACTTTACTCTTGAAGTCGAACCCGACGGAATGTTCCACTTCCTCAGCGTCCGTCTGACAAGAAACACTGACAACTCTCTGAAAAGGGCCATATACAAAAAGCCCACATGAAGTGGACAATTTATCAACTTTCAAGGCTTCCTGCCCCAAGCAGGAAGAGGAACCTGATATACGCTCTTTCCTCGAGGATTCGAAAGATATGCAGTAAGGAGGTGATTGATGAAGAACTGAGTAATCTTCGAAAAACCCTGATGGAAAAGGTTTTCCGACTAGGTTCATAGACAAGAACCTCAAATCAAAGAAGACTTCCGAACAAGTTCAGTTCGTCCCGAAGAAGATACTTCTGCTCAGCCTAGAATTCAAAGGTGACATTGAAGCAGAAATTCTCCATAAACGCCTCTGGGAATCTCTGAGGAAAATATACATCACCGCGAGCCTACGACTAACGTTTTCCTGCAAAAAACTGTCCAGCCAGAACGCGAAAGACAAGCTGTCGGATTGGGCCACTTCAACGTGCATATACCAGTTTACTTGCTCATGCGGAGCTGAGCACAACGGCCGTACCATACACCAACTTGAAAAACGCGCTCATGAACACTATCCACCCTGACTAGTAAGAAGGAGAACGAAAACGTGTATATAGTTCAGTAACAGAACATCTGGTCAATTCAGGACATTCAGCGCCATTCGAAAAATCCTACAAAATAATAAACAAGATTCGATCAAACCTAGCAAAGGGAATGAAATTAGGACATCTGGGCATAGACGAGACACTAGCCATCCAAAAGCTCAAACCCACACTATGTATCCAAAAGAAGTACATTCAACCCTTGTCCCCGCCGTGGCCACCATAAACAGGTAATTATTCTAATATTGACTATCCCATCGCCTTTCTTATCCAAACTTCCTGCTATTTTGTCATTTTATTATTTCTACATATTTAATCCCTGATTGGATAAACAATTATTTGTCACAATAGTTATGATCCCACTAGATTTTTTTATCCAAACATTCTGTCACTGGCAATCGTGGAGTCGGCTGAAGACGACTGTAAAAAACGCGGCGAAGTGAAGATATACAGTTGAATCCCTATGTTCCACTCGGAACCCAAGGAAATAATAGTAATATGATAGTTTGGAGGCGTTCAGCGAAGAGTCACTCTTTTTGGCGATTTCATTCTCAATCTGTACAGTCGCATGTACATATATATGGCAAATTTTCTTAGCAATCAAAGCACCTCAATACAGTTTCTGATATTATTTTCATTTGCCTTTACTGGCTATATGTACTCTATTATTCATGGATTTATAACTGTAGAGCCTGAAGAAGAAGTTATTGAAAACAATTGTTCGCTCAAAATCTTGTTTTGATTTCAATATGGGGATTTTTCATTTATTGAAAGCAATATTTCAAAGGTGGATCATTAGAATTGTAAATTTTAGAGAAGAAATCACGTAATGTAGAAAGCGTTAATCGGTAAGAAACTAAAATAAAACTATTAGAATTGTAAATTTTAAATAATAATAAATTTCTTTAATTGGTTAGAAACTGAAGTAAGATTAAATAAGCAAGTTGTGAATGACGTAATCTAATTGACGCTATCAACATTAGATAGTTCTTTTTTATCTAAAATTTACAATTCTGATGACAAACCTTTGAAATATTCATTTTATTGCCAAGAAAATTTACTCTCTATGTGTATATGTGATTGTACAGCTTGAAAATGATATCGTCGAAAAGAGGAGTAACTGTTGGCTGAAAGCTTTTTCTTTTTTAAATAACTCAGTGGGAATTTTTAAATTTTAAATGTGTAAATCATCACTGGAAAGTTCTTGCCATCATCTTACAGGCTACATGCTAAATAATGCACATTTCTATATAAATATATAGACATGACAGTTGAATGCGTCACATTTCTAGCATTTCAGCTCAAGACTGAAACTCGATGACTTCTCTTCGAAAACTGTCATTCACTATGCTAATGAAATATGAAGTCTCTTTGATATAAGAACAGAACTTGAGCACTCTGGTGGAGTATACTTCTGATTGGACACTAGTAAATAGTACGACGTGTCTAGTCCTTTCTTTGGTGTCTGAATAGCTCAGTGGTAACGTGTCTGACTGACTGCAGCACTGGGTGATACGGGTTTGAATCTCAGAAGGGACATGAGATCCTTCAACGCGGTAGATACGCCTTACTGATGAGTGAAAACTAACCCTAACACGTCCAAGGCTTCCTGTCGATCGCCTCCAACTATCTAATATCATCAAGAGTATATTTCTGTCATAGAATAAGTTTATTTGATGCAAACACACAGCGTAACAGTATTACTTACTGATCAAAATGTAATATCGTAAAGCTATATTCTCTAATCAAGCCAATTTATTCTAGAATGAAATAAAGGCTCCTTCCTTCTCATTTCTACGAATGAATACTCGTGTACTAACAAAGATGAATCATTTCAGTCTAGTTATATCAGCAAAAGGGTAATATTTGTTTCTGTCTTGGTCAAGGATGAATTTTCTCATAATGAGGAGGAATGATTGTTATGAGTTAAATAAGACTTGATTCACTGACTTAGGTAATCGTCTTTTAGACAATAAATCCTGGATTCAAATCCTATCTCATCTATTTAAACCTGGCCATTTAGCTAGTATCATCAGGCTTTACGTAATACTTGTGGCCTACATCCTTCGCACAACAGAGTTCTCATATCATTGCTGTCCGAAGTATATCGATAAATCTTGTAATCCGATTTTTTCTTTTCTAAAGAATGAATACTGAACAAAGAGTACTCTTTTCGATAGCTTCATCATCAGGCTCTACAATTATATATCCATCCATGATAGTGAATCAATGAATTAGTCTTATGAACAACATTAATGTTGCTGTTTAAAATAACATCGAATCAATAATATTGATAGATTACAGATCAATAGCATCAACACAACAATAAACTGAATGTCAGAAAAGATAATTAGGAAAGATAATATTACAAATTCATGCATTTTTAGTCTCTATTGAAGGCCAGGGCAGTAGTAGGGGTTGGACTTGCTTCTTTTGAGCACAGAGCACTGGTTGTTTGAGGCGAATTGCAATAGCCTATGCTGTTTGGAGTATGCGGTGCTTCGATGATTTTGGCAATTTATTTGTCACCCGGTAGATTATAGAGAAGGATTCTTCCACGCTGGCTGGCTTTGTGGCCCGTTTGCACCAGATGGTCTGATATCGAACTGTTGACGGTTTTTACTACACCTTTGCTTAGCAATACTGA